AAAACATGGATTTAGAAGCACTTTAATAGACTGCTCCAGCACCATGCCTACACATTCTATATAACCAGCCTGCTATCTGGCTGCATTCTCCTGAACGTGCAAAAACATAAGCTCCTCAAGTTATCCCTGTGACAGGCCAGATTTCCTATTATTTACAGATATCTATTTCTCATAATTTTTCAAAGACAGAAGCATATGCAATATAAACAGAATATAATAGACATGAAACAGTGAATCTGCCCATATGCAGGGGAAATGTGTAATGCAAACAGGTTTTTCGGAGGCCAGGCTGGTTCTGCTCTCAGCAGGCACCGGGCTGAGTGAGCCACGAGAGGGAGCGCGAACACTGCTGGAAATGCCACGACAAGCCAGGCCCGGGCAGGGTTTGGTGCCAAGCCAGTTGCTAATAACCTGCATTCTCATTTGTGCTGAAAATCAATTCAATTTCCTCTTCAGCTTTAATGCGTTACAAGTAGTTCTTCAGTACTAATCTGGTAAGGAGAGAGAGAGAGAGGGAAAAAGGCATTCATGATGCTGAGCATGAGCTGGGTAACCGAAGCGCAGAGCCAGGTCAGAGCAGCAGGCAAGGCAGCCCTGGGTGCCAGGCGAGTGGGATCGGAGGGCTGCAGCACTTGCCCGTGGCAGAAGGCGAGGAGACCAGCTGTACATCTCTCCCTCTGCTTTTCATCCTGCTTGTGTTGCCACCGAGGGAAGACTGGGGCATACGCTAGCACCAGTCCAACCCAAAAGGGGCACCTACTGCCAAGCCTTTCACAGCAGCAGGAACAGGCAATCCCCACCCTCTGGGACTGTTGCAGCCTTACCCCCCTCCTCTTGCGTTATGAGAGATTACAAATAAGGCTTCTTAACTGTGGTAAGCTAGACTGACAAAAGAAATACTTGACAACAGAGATTTTAAAACCGAGATGTTTGTTTATATGTGGGTCAAATACGAGTTTGTGAAGTCTTCCACCATCATAGTCAGACTTTGCTCATCTCTTGCCTCTGAATATCATACAAATTTCATTCTTGAGCTGAAGGTTGTTTATATAAGCTAAGGACAAATGTATTCTTAAAGGCTGTTCTTTCTGGATGGTTTAGCACAATACAGTGCTTGAATATCCATTTCACTTAGCTGCTGTGGTATTCTAGCAGGAAACAGCAGCAGGATACTGCGGTTATGCAAAGGACAGGAGCACAAAGGATAATGCCTGTGAATACTGATCTCCTGACTGATGTAATCATTGTGATAAAAGATAATGCCTTAGTAGTATAAGATGTGACTCTTCTGCATGAAGACGGATACATTCAGCATAAATCTAGCTTCTTCTCGGAGATGAAAAAGGAGGAAGGTCACAAGGCTATGGAGCAGACCTGCACCACACATCCTGCAGTTTCTTGCCTCCATGGGATCCAGGGCAGCAGCAGAAGTCCCTGCCCCGGCAGGTCGGTGCACACAGCTTCAGGATTCATGACTGTCTCAAACACAGGGTGAGAGGGGATCCTTTCTGCAGCATCAAGGAGATGCAGAAATGCCTCCCAAGAGAGTCCTGATGCACCAGCTGCTGGGAGGCAGTTTAACTGAGGCCCCTGCAGTTGCAGGTTACGAATGGCATTCTAGCTAAATCTTTGTATGTATTTTTCCAGTAATGCATGAAATCAATGAAATATCATTAAGAGAAATGAATTGACTCTGAGGCTATCATAGTACTCACTATACCTGCCACTTCCCTTTGCATGACAGGATCATCCTTACCAACTAGTTTATTTTAAATCTTCATAAATAGGGTGCCCTTCTCATCTCTTCTTATACTTTTGCCCTTCACACTTTCTCCTCTCTCTTAGTCTGCATTTCTATTACTTTAGGAACAACTAATGGTCCAAATGTTAATGCTAACCATCTTCCTCTTCCATTCCCTGTAACGGGAGAGAAAGGACCCACGTAAATCTCTGCATCTCCACTGTAATAAACCAGCCAGTTGCAACATCCCCAGAATAGACCAAAGACAGACTTAAAATTAAAAAAAAAAACAAATGTAACAAATCTGTAAATAACCTGGTGATACTGAAAGACTGACTGTTACAATACTTAAATTGTGTAGCAGGGTGTAAATCTTGCCTCAATGCTGCAGTTACCCACAGAAAATAGTTAAGCTTAAAAGATTAGCAAATAGGACTGCAGCATGCTAACTTCACTTTCAAAGCTAGTGATACTTTACAGGCTATAAGAACAAGCTACCTCAAAGAGTTCACAAAATTTATCACCTTAGGTCACGAATTTACACAAAGTAGCCAAGATAACAAATTTACAACAATTTTTACTGTCTAGTTTTCATATATTGTTACATAATTGTTAGTGTGCTATGTATTATAGTGGTAAATATGTTGCACATCAATTATTAAAAAATCATATACTATTATTGTTAATTATTCAAATTTTACCTTCATAAATCTGAGCAGTGGATAGTTTCTCTTTACAGACCCTATCTTGTGCTTGACAAAGGTCAGTTAGAATCCTGAAATGCTATTGTTTTCTCAGGGCCTAATACTACCCTTCAAGCTGTATCCAGCAAGTGACGATACCAAACCATCTCTCTCAGTGGGGAAAAAAATGTATTTCACTGAGAATATATTGATATAAATAAGGTACATTTAATCACTCATTGAAGGCTCAATATACAGAAAACACTAAAATACCACACATTCTGTTAAAAGGATGGAATGCTAATGTACATCTTTCTCCCTTTGTAAATATAAATGTGCATAGATGTAGTGATCGCTGGCTGAAAATGTAGTTCTTGGCATTGCAATGAATATGCGCTAGTAAGGGCAGATCTTTGACATGGTAAGACAACTTATCTATGCATTTGCACTACAACAAAAATAACAAATAGGAAAGAAACAAAGACAAGTATTTATCATCTGTTTTCTCTCAGATGATACGATTTAATCTAGAAACCAGAGTGGACTCTAGATGCACTTTTGAACATGACACAGCGGGAGTTTGCCAGTGCTAAAGCTCTAGAAGGGTGCATATATAGGGAATTTGCCTCTTCAAAAGCACGGGCACAAGCACAAAGTCAGTTACTTGTTCTGAGTTGAGGTCACTCCCTACTTGCAGGAACTAGCTGAAAGCTTCTAGGTTTAGATCCTGATTTTTTCTATTTATTTTTGAAGTTTTATTCCTGACTGTGAGACCAATGGCTACAGTGCCAACAGTTATCCAGCATGTTCTCTTTACACCTCTCACAAGCTTTGGCCCCAAAGGAAGCAAGCAGTTTCTTAACTGCTTTTCTTACAGGTTTCACAGAGATGGAAAAGCTGCATGTTGCAGATCCACACTGCCCTTTTAGCAGACAGAGGCAGAGAAATTATACTGGTGCCAACAGATGTGGTAGAGAACCAGCTGCCATAATTAAAAATTAGTTCTCTAACTTATCCAGTGTTGACAGGAAGCTGTGTCTGTGGCAGAATCCTGTCACCATTTTGTACCAGCAACACTTACAAAGGTGGGGGGGGGGAAATCTCTATCTGTTCTGTTTACTGATCTCCAAGACAGACAATCATTACTCTCACTGCAACTTAGGCAAAAGTTACCCTGCTCTTCTTTAACCATTACTTTCGCCAGAGTGCCAGAGCAGGTACGGGATTAATATAGGATGATGCTCCTGGTCCATGTACAGAATAAATGGATGTACGATAAACATGCATAAAGCACATATCATAACAACAAAAAATATTCCTGATTTTCCCTTTTCACTGACCTTTTTCATTGATGCTTTGATTTACATGATTTTTCTTCACTATGCAGCTCAGGAGTCCTACCAGGTAGCACCAAAAGAATGGCTTGTTGAGTACACAGGGACAGCTTTCTGGGAGTTTCTGGTTTAACCATAACCCAAATCGTTGCTGACATCACTCTTCCCACCCCCTACCCTGCAAAGCACCAATTCAGACCAACTAAACTGCAGCCAACTTCAAACGTTCCTCCTTCTTCCCTGATATCTCTGTGCGCTGGGAATGTTGGCGGTTTAGGGATCACAGGATAACTGAAGCTGGAAGGAACCTCAGGAAATCTCTAGTCTGCCTTGTTCCACTGGTTCGCTGTCCCAGAAGTGAAAAAGCTATTCCATATATCCCATCCAAATCTCTCAGTTCATGCTCATTGTCTGTGATCCTTCTACTATGAATCACCCTTAAGAGCCTGGCTGCGTCTTGTTGAAAACCTCCCCATCTCTATTGGAATGCTGCTATTAGGTTCCCCTAAAGATGTTCCATGTCCAGGCTGGTCAGGTGCAGCTCCCTCAGCCTCTCCTCACAGGCCAAGTATTAAAACCCCTGACAATCTTGGTGGACTCCACTGAACTCACCCCAGTTTACAGAGGTCTTTCTTGTATTGGGGTCTCAAAACTGGATGCAGTATCTAGATGTGGTCTAATGTGGGCTGAGTCGAGGACATAATCACTTCAGTCAAGACTACTGGCTCTGATCCTGTCAGCACAGCCTGGGATGCTCATGCCCTTCCTTGCTGACAGGGCACACTACAGGCTCACGCCCTACTCGTTCAGCAACAGCACTCCACATCCTTTTCTGCAGAGCTCCGTCCCAGGCAGCCAGAGCCTGGCCTGCTGTGCTGCAGCACTGTTCTTCCTTCCCAGGCGCAGGACTTTGCACCTGCCTTTGCTGAACTTTGTAGTATTTCTGTCAACGCACTCATCCAGCCTGACCACGTTCTGCTGAATGGCAATCCTACAATATGCTTTAAGGAAATTCAGAGTAAAGACATCCATCAGCAATTCTGGCACATATGCAGAGACTTCAGTACTGTGACAAAACTGAACTGCCTGCAGAGCTGCAGATGCAGAATCCCTTCAGTATTTCACAGCTTAAGAATGTGGTTTCCTGTGGCAGCCCATGGACACTGTCACTGAAACCGGTCTCCAACCTAAACAGTCTGCTGGCTGAAGTCCATCTCATTCTCACATCTCTTTAGCTCATCCCTACAGTGGCTTTACTTGGATGACATTTACTTTTGTCCCATTGTGTTTACTGTTGTCATCCATTTCCTGAGTGTCATCACTAGTGATAATAAAAATGATAGAGGAAGAGCTGAAAGTCACTTTCTTCTTTGGCCTGTCCCCTGCTTTCCGAGACATAACTATTGGTCGTATTGGTTTGTCGTTCCCTGTTGCTGGTCTCTCTTTCACAGTTCTCTGGAATCTCATCAGGCGAAAGCACAGGAGTTGCAAAAGGCATCGTCGAAACTGCAAGAGAGAATAAATAGAATGAAGTTACAACTTCCTGAGCGTTCACTATCATGTATGATCCCGTGAAGACAGCAGTACAATAAATGACTCAGCAGATTTCTGCATATCTCCACCTTGTTCTGAGTTAGTTTCGGTGCTGTAACAAACACGGTGGCATTTTAACGTGTACTTTTTTTCTCTACGCCAAAGAGCTGAACCGGATCACCTAGCCAGTAGAGGGCACTGAAATGCAATTTCATATTTTACCAGCAGCAAGGTCTGCAATCGACAATCTGCAAAGAACGAGAGGACTAGGCTCCAAAGTGTTCTATAGGTATTGTTCCCATATTCAAAAATCACACATTTGATCTAGCAGAAGAAAAATATTCTCAGAAACATTTCACAAAAGGATGCAGAGGGAAAGGTATACTTAAGAGGAAGAAAACATCACTTTGTAACTCCAGGGTCTGGAATTTTAACAAAAGCATTGAATGTCATAGATGTAAAATGAAATTCCAATGGTTGGTAACACAGAACTATAATGTTCCCATTGAATATGGAAGGAACAGAAGTCTTTCAGCTAACTAGAAGCCACTTATGCCACAGCAAGTCTGTTCTACCTTGTGACCGAATACCTCGCATTATTCAGTGAAAGCTCACATCAGTAAACAGAATGATAGTTCCAGTAGTAGCACTGTTTTAAGTGCTTCAGTTATGATCTCCCCTTCACAAAGCAAAGCATTCAGGTATGGGGTTTAAAGGATGCACTAGTTCAGTAGTTCCATGTCTGCACACATCTGATGCTCAAATATGATCCTTGGGGAAAGATAATCTGGTGCAAGAGCATGGTCATATGGCAGCCTTAAAGATATCAGAGATAACGTGATACCTCTGAGTAGCACGGAAGTGAGAAGGCACAGGCATGTTAGATCACAGAAAGAATATTACAGAGAAGAACTGGTTTTAAGATTCCTTCTGAGGGCAAAATGACCCAGACAATAAGCAAAAATATTATTGTTTTGGTCTTAATCTGGAATTAGAGGTGAGTGAGAAATACTTCATAATGTATCTCCAGTAAGTGTGTTCAGCTGATCCGTTCTTATCCTGGCTATGAGTTTACTGGCATTGTACCTGGTACCGATTTGCTTTGCTTCTGGGTATCAGAACCTACACCACTTTTTTCAGATAAACGACTCAGCCCAGCAACCTCTAGGTACAGAGTCAGTGCCACAGTATTAACAAATCACACTCTGTTGAAAAACACTCATTTTGTAACATGATTGTTGCTAGCTCCCCATATCCAGACCAGCTCTGTTATCATGCAGCTGTGTAACCTTGGACCAGCCTGCTGTGAACCAAGCTGTAGGGGAAGAGCTGCAAGATGCCACATTGGGGGCCTCCTGCCTTCACTCAGGAATGCATTTAAGCTCACCCTTCCCTCGGTCCTGACCTGAGCTGCCCTGCAGCTATGCCTTTGCCTGGCTGCCTGCCTGGCTGATCAGACCCACTGACTTGGCTGCCTTGTCCTTACAGACTGCTGGCTGGCCCAGGCTGCTGCCTGGCAATTGCAAACCAGTGTATGAAATCACAGAAAATTCCATCTCTATAATGAGCTAAGAGGTAATGAAAGCTCAGGGAAATCCTTCTAGCAACCAGTCATATTTTTTTACCCTTTGTCAAGTGATTCTGTTAAACTCCAGATATCTTTAACTCTATACAGTCTTGGTTTCAGAAGTTTACAATGTGCATGTTAACACTTTCAGTTAGTGTTCTGAGTTATAGCAAAGCTATTTTAATGTCTAAATAAATCCACCAACACCACTTAACTGCATTCAGTATTTATCTTCACAGTACTGATGATTTACAGAAAGATGTATAGCTTTCTAGTTTCCACGTTTGACACGCCACTGATAACTCCAAATACTTCTGTCCTCTCTTTGCTCTGTAAAGCACTGAAATCAGCTAGTTACCACTATTAAAACAGCAGTCTACTTTTCGTAAGGAAGACTACAAAAGCAGCAAAAATAAAAACTTGTTTCTCATAAATAAGTGTACCTTCTCAAAAGTGGATAATTTGTTTCCAAAAAACATTTCACTCTCATCCACATGAGGTTCTGGCTTTGAGTACAATAAAGCTCTGAGAAATGTTACTGGTGTAATATTTGAAATACTATGCTGAGTTGTTCAGTCCTTGTGTTGCCATAACAGAAGAGTCAGAGGCAAGTTTTTTCTTCCTAAAAAACAGACACCGGATATTCTGAATTTTCTCTGATGGAGTTCTGTGGCAGTAAGGGAGTGATTCAGATCAGGTTTTCTAGTGGTAATCCATTTCATGGGTAAACTGTCAAAACCAGACCCTTAAATCATAGAAATCATAGAAAGTTTTGGGTCGGAAGGGACCCCTAGAGGTCAAATGTGGAGACCCCTTCCCCTCCCTTTCATGTGAGTGCTCATGGGTGAATCCAGACATTTAAAATCCAGTTTCTCATAAGGTAGTACTTTAAGCACTGTCAGCGATTTTAATTCTACTAGATCTTTCCTATTTAACCTAGCTGTTCAAGTTTTTTTAAAAAATGTAAGATTTACAGATTAAAGAGAATCAGATCTAAGCTCTACAACTGTCATATTTGCTACTAATTATTCAAATAAGAAAATCTTTAATGTACCTACCTTTCTACTCATGAAGATATAGATGACTGGATTATAAGCAGTGCTTGACTTGGCAAAGAAAGACGGGATGATAGCTACTGTTGGAGTTACAAGGTTGCTATAGCCATATGTTACCAGGAGGGAGACCACTGCATAGGGCATCCAACAAATAAGGAACGTGGAGATCATTAAGAAACACATTTTAGCCACCTTCTTTTCATATTTTAGAAGTTTGATCACTTGAACAGTCTGGAAATCTTCCACACAGCGAAGCTGTAGAAGCAAAAGATAAAATTGTAAAGTAAAATAGCTCTATATTTTACTTGAAACTGAATACTTCTACATTTATTTATAAATAACTAATTCGCTGATTTAGTTTTAGGCACAGACACTATACACCTTATCTTGTGCACTGCAATTCTTCTGGAAGTTTACATCATGCTTCCCAGACTTTTATTGTGTATATTAAGTGTAAAAATATAATCTGAGGAAAAGCTGAATAGCAAATCTACTGGAAAACAACAAAGCCAGTGATGTAGCAAAACACGCTGCACTTATAAGTATTTTAGAAAACTAACTTGCCCTCATCCACTGGCATAAGAAAGTTCGGTTTACATTTAGTGGTCCTTGGTCCGACTAGTTGGGCAATCCTGTAGATTTGTGTCATCAGCAATCTTCAGAGAGAAGAAAATTTCATAAACAGATTTCTCTGTACTGCTCTGCCACTTAGTTTGTTACCCTAAAATTATGAAATCTCTATTTAAAGCAGAATACTAGGCAGCAGGTTCCTAGTGTTATCTGAGTGAGTCATAAAATGAGGAAAAGATGGGATATGTACATGAGCGTTCTCCATAACAATTACCAGTTGTGCTGATATTGTTGACCACAAACTTGAATTGGTCCAGACTAATTACCCACAAAATATGAAACATTATCACTTTCTGACACAAAAGATCTGGACTGAATTAAAATGAGTTGCTTTAACATAGAAAACTGTTTTAACAGGGCTTAATCTCCACTTGGAAGAGTTTTACAGGGTTATCTTCTCAAGAGGGTCAAGGAGAAGAGTTCGTTCTTTAATCAGAAGAACTGCAGACAGAGTTTTCTTCTCCCCCTTTTTCAAAGAAGTATCTGATGTGGATTAGTGAGCATAAGCAGTTCCCTAACCTGCCTCCAAGTAAAACTACGGAACAAATAGGCTTTGGTAGATCTAGGTTGGTTCTCCTCCAACCCTACATCCTTTCTAGGGGTGCCTGACATGGATGAACACTAAACATTCAAAAGTTCACATAGGAAGCAAGAGTGCAAATTTAGGTTCTGATCCAAGCTTAATATACAGCATCAACATTTTTCACTGAAAATATTACATTCAGAGAAGTCTTATTTGAATTAACTTACCATTCTTACTGCATATAGAATATGGCCATAGCAATAGGCCATGATCCCAACAGGTGCTACTAGACAGCCAAGGAAAAAGAGGAGCACAAAGGAGGTATCATTGGGGTCTTTTGACTTCCAGTCCACTGAGCAACCTAATCCATGAATTTCCAGTGTGTACCTGTTCCAGCCCACAAGAGGTGCTCCAGTCCAGGCTAATGAGTAGAGCCAGATGTATGCGATAGCCCGCCAAGACCAAGAGAAGTCAACCACTTTTGCATGGACTACTCGAATGTAGCGTTCATAAGCAAGAACAGTGAGAGTCATAATTGAAACAATTCCTGTAAGAAAAATAGAGAAAAATCAATCAAATCATTCACAAATATTGCAAATTGGACTGAAGTCCTCTTGATAAATGTTTCTGTTGCTAGCAGGTTAACTCAAAATTAGCTAGCTCGTATTATGAATCTAACAACAATAACTCACTAACTACTAATTCAAACAGTATCACTACCTTCAGAACTACTCAGAGCAGGGTGCTGGCATCTGACCATGATGTACGATGGACAAGCCATAGAACATAAACAAACAAACAAACAAAGGTCAAGCTAATACTTCTTCATAAACATTACTTCAGTAAGTGAGATCATGCTCCAAGGGTTTTGGTTTTTTTCTTTTTGCTGGTAATTGTTGTGGGGGTTTTTGTTGGTTTTGTTGGGGGTTTTGGGGTTTGGTGGGTGTTTTGTTTTGCTTTTTAAAGAAAAAGCTGCCACACAAAAATGAGATAATCAGCAATAACAAAATCTGTTAGAACCTAGGGAATTCGGAGTTGAGATTGAAGTCAAAGAAAGCCTTCAACAACTGAAAGCACCGATATGCACCTTTAATGTGAACAAAATGGCTAGGAGAATTCCAAGTGCCTTCAAGATTACCTGGAAGTCTTTGCATTGCAAAGAACAACCAGCAAAGCAAAGTATTACCTTGGTGAAGGAGTCCCATCTGGAAGACACTGAGTTATTTTGAGTGTCCTTTCTTATCTTGCTATCACAAAAATATCACAGTCTTTGTTTCAATTATTCGTGCACTCTCTTCCTTTTCTGTCCACCGCAACCCCACCACAAACTTAGTAATGTGTTGTGACAGAAATCACAGATTATTTTCAGCTCTCAGCATTACCCTATCCAGACACTTTTATAATTTAATGAAGTCAAGGCAATTCTGTCTTGATCAGTCATTGGAACAGGCTGCCCAGGGAGGTGGTTGAGCCACCATCCCTGGAGGTGTTCAAAAAAACATGTAGATGTGGCACTTCGGGACATGGTTTAGCAGGCATGGTGGTGTTGGGGTGATGGTTGGACTTGATGAACTTAGAGGTCTTTTCCAAGTTATGATTCTATGATTGATTAGGATATAAGGATTTCTGTTTCAATGGTCTGTGAAATTTGACGATCAAAAATCAAATTGCCCATCAGGCATGTGTCAGTCACCTGAAATCTGTTACAATTCAGTCATCAATGTCATATACACAGTCTCTTAAACAACAGAAGGGTATATTTCACAGCACTCTGTGAGCTTATACAAATATCTTTGTCTAAATTTGTGTACATTTTATCTAATATGAAGCACAAATATTTTGTCATGCATACACACATCATTTCATTTCTTCAAGTATATTCATATATGTCATAACATGCATTTATATAGCTATGAGAAGGTTAAACATGCAAATTTCACTGCCAAAGAGAGCATAACCATTGTATCCAGCAGAAATCTTCAAAGGATATCACAGATCTCTGATCTCACTTTGGAAAAAGGATAAGCATTTAAGGGAGACAAATTAACAATAGCACACTCAAGCACCAGCAACACGGTTTTTAGGAAGGCAACTAAAAATAACAAAATCTAGAGCAACATATAGCCTCTGTGTTAAGGCATTCAGTAGCAAAACCAGCATATTATTAACCAAGTATCTCACAGTAGGATATGCTCTAAGATCTGTAAGAAAGTTACTTTATCCTGCAATTAGAGGATCCCTTTTTACAGGTGATGAGTTTGGAAAGCTTTCTTGATTAACAGGAAGGATTTCCCACTCTAAAGGAAAACATGACACATTCTTGTCATGACTCTCCAAAATTAAAAAAAAGATTTTTTTTTTTAATGTGTACCTTTTTTGCCAGTGTTATCTTTAAACCTCCATCACAAAGAGAAGTAGATACTGCTGGGCACGCAGAAGGCAAGGCATACTGCTTTCATGGTTAGTTTTGTATAGTTATGTGGTTTTTTTCTTGTACAAGTCATTGCTACAGAATTTTGTTTTCATGACTTGAAATTGGACTAGCAAATGTCGACTAGAGGGTTTCCAAAAAACCTAAGGTTTGGTTGGTTGGTTGTTGAGTTTTTTTAAACAAAGTTGATAGAAAGTCCTTCATGGCCTTTTTCAGGACCTAACATGCTGAAAATACATTGAAGAATGTATACCTAAGCAAGATCTTATCAAGAATTAGAAAATAATTACAGAATTATATAGGTGTTATTCTACACTTATACTAGCTCAGGTAAATGCTTTATACAATCATATGCAGTCTACTTCCTGAACACAAGTTAAGGCAAGAAGTTCCCCTCCCATTTCTCTGTGCCCAAAGATTCGGAATTACAAAATTTTACCTGATGGTTATTAAAAACATTCGCAGACATGTTTATGGAGAAAAAATCACGACTCAACTATAGGCTCAGTTTGCTTACACAGTGCACTGAGTCTTTGTGATCAGTGGAGAGAGAGAGCAGCTCCTCAGCATGGTGAGTCAGAATTCCTAAATTAACCTCTTGCTCACCTTCCTTGTCCCTACAATGGTACTGAATGATTAATGTCCCTGTGTACTTTTAATATTTCCCCATCAATTTTTATATACGAGTACTGAATTCTGGACATGACAAAGTAATGAAAAGCACACATGCTTGGTTGAAAGTATAAATGTTCAGAAGCAATAATTTACTGAGTCCTTGACATTCTCAAAGAAGTCACTGGAAGCTCAATATCTCTAAAAATTGGTACTTATGCATAGATCTTTGAACAGTTTTAGATCAAGCCCCTTTCAGCCTGAAACCAGTGCTTTTTACAGGGATACTCGAGTTTTCTACCTGAACCATAACAGTGACCTTGGTTAGCCCATTGGGCAGTCTGCACTCAAAAGCAAATCCGTGTTCTGTTGGTATTCGGGAAGTGTCTGGCAGCAGGCAGGCAGGAGGCAAGAAATGCAGGTCACAGAGTATTACAGCAAATTCCTCTGACGCAGGATCTCTATTGTAACAAGGTCATAGCTGCAGGAGTAGAGGTTGAAGTAGTTAACCATAAAAATAGAAACTGGAAACAAAATGCCTTTGCAGGATAAGACAAAATGTAGGGAATTTTGTACAACAAAAAGCTCCCCTTGTGTGCTGTGGAGCCATAGCTGCCTGTTTATTTGTGGTAGATGACATGCAGAAATACCTGTAAGAACAGGAATACTGAGATCTGCCCTAAGGAGCTGAGTTTTAAAATGTATATTAGAAAGATAAAGTCCGTAACTAGGGAAAAAAAACACATTAATTCTGGTGGAGGGTGCTGTAGATAAAGCTGTTTAAGAGTCATTGGGGTTTTGTCATTCTTTTTACTTATACAGCAGGCTACATGACAGAGGAATTCACAAGGAAACAAAATTTCAGTGTGTTCAACGGGTAAGAAGCTATCTTGCAAGTGTGCATCACATCTAAGTAAACAAGTTTTTAAATGGGATAAGCACCATTTAACTCCCAGATGAGGGATTACCAATAAATTACTTTTACTGAATGACCAGAATTGAACTACAGGCAGCATCTCTCAGCATTAGGACATTGCTGAGCGGAACAGAAATAGCCAGAGGAACAACTTCTGAGTAGTGTCATCAGCATTTCAGAAGCTATTTAACACACAGGAATCTCTAAGATTGCACTGCTTTTTTCTTGCTCATCCCTCCTTTAATGTTACAAAAAAAAAAGTATGGAAAAAATATATGAAATACCACTATACTCCCACAGAATGCAAACAACTTTGTTAGAGCTGTAAATTTGATTGTCCGTCTTTTTAACATAGAAATTCTATAGAGTAACTCTCATGACTTAAGTTAAAATACCTATTACTCCATAAGAATCTAGTAGTTGGTCTTTTTTAGAACTGTTTCCATATATTTCATATTAATCCCAGGCCTTGGGAACAAAAATACAGGTTGATGCAAACACAAACCCACTGTCAGTGAAGGAAGAGTTGGTATGTGAACTACTACAGGAACTTGACCCCTACAAATCGATGGGCCCTGACATTATCCACCCGAGGGTGTTAACAGAGCTGGCTGACATCATTGTAAGGCCACTCTCCATAATCTTTGAGAAGTCATGGAGATCAGGGGACATCCCAGAAGACTGGAAGAAGGCTAATGTCACCCACATCTACAAGAAGGGCTTAAAGGAGGATCGAGGAAATTATAGGCCCACCAGTCTTACTTCAGTCTGTGGGAAAGTTATGGAATGAATCCTCCTGGGGGAATGAAACACTTGATTGGGAAAAACCATCAAGGATTCACCAAGGGCAAACTGTGCTTGACAAACCTGATCACCCGGTTACAGCAAAGTAACCTGCTCAGCTGATGTAGGGCGAGCGGTGGACATTGTCTGCCTAGATTTCTCCAAGGCTTTCGACACAGTTTCCCACTTCCCAGAGGGTGTCAAAGTGGGGTTCTCCAGGGATCGATATTGGGCCCAACACTGCTTGGTATCTTCATAAGTGATCTGGATGATGGGATCAACTGTATCCTGTTGAAGTTTGCTCATGATACCAAACTGAGTGGGGGTGGACACGTCAAAAGGGAGAAGCACCCTCCAGGAAGAGCTAGATAGGCTGAAAGAATGGGCTAACAAGAACCTTATGAAGTTCAACAGGGACAAGTGTACGGTGTTGCACGGGAAATCATAATCCAGAAGTGCAGCACAGGCTGGGATCTACCCAGCTGGGGAGTAGCTCTGTGGAAAGGGAGCTGGTGGTCCTGGTGGACAACAAGCTCAATATGAGTGAACAGTGCGCTGGTGTGGCAAAGAAAGCCAACAGCATGCTGGATTGCATCACAAGGGCATCACCAGCAGAGATAAAGATGACATTACCTCACTCAACTCAGCACTTGTTCAGGCCACACCTCGAATACTGTGTTCAGTTTTAGTCCCTGCTATGCAAGAAAAGATGTGGACAGGCTGGAGAGGGTCCAGAGAAGGGCCACAAAGACGACCAAAGGGCTGGAAAGCCTGTCATATGAGGAAAGGCTGAGAGAACCGGGTTTGTTCAG